GGATCCGTCTGCTTTCTCCTCCCTCACTAACGCGCCCCATATGTTTTGCAGAGGACGCCGGTTTCCCACAAAGTCATTGAGAAGCGGAGGAGGGACCGCATCAACCGCTGCCTCACCGAGCTGGGGAAGACGGTGCCCATGGCTCTGGCCAAGCAGGTAGGCGGGGGGGAGCAGCCCCTGCGCCCTTTTCTCCCCGGTGCGCCGCGATATCCCCCCCGATACGGAGGGGTTAGGGGCGGTCCTGTGGAACGGAGAGCGCTCTCAGGGAAGAGGTGATGCCCATCTGCCCTGCCCGTTGCAGAGCTCGGGGAAGCTGGAGAAAGCGGAGATCCTGGAGATGACGGTGCAATACCTGCGGGCCCTGCACTCGGCGGACTTTCCCCGCGGCCGGGAGAAGGGTAGGTGGGCGGGAGCGACCTCCCGCGACCCCCGCCGGGTCACTCGCGGCGTTGGGGTGGCTTTCCCCGCTCCTCTCCCGGCCAGACCCTGAGGAGCTCGATTCCCTTCCCTATCCCTTCCAGCAGAGTTGCTCTCCGAGTTCGCCAATTACTTCCACTATGGCTACCACGAGTGCATGAAGAACCTGGTCCACTACCTGACAACGGTGGAGAGGATGGAGACCAAAGACACCAAGTACGCCCGTATCCTGGCCTTTCTCCAGTCCAAAGCACGCTTCGTTACTGAGCCTCTCTTCACCTCCCTGGGCTCCCTCCCGGAGCCGGACTTTTCCTACCAGCTGCATCCTGGGCCCGAGTGCCCCGGGCATGTCCACAGTCCCGCCGAAGGCGTGCTCCAGCCGCCCTCGGGGGGGCCGTTCCCCTGGCACGGCGCCGCCCGCAGCCCCTCCCTGCCCTACCACTTACCCAGCGCCACCGTTCCCCTCGCCAGCCCCGGCCAGCAGCGCAGCACCTTCCTCTCATCCGTGCAGGGGCTGGACCGCCACTACCTCAACCTTCTCGGCCATTCCCACCCCAACGCCTTCGGGCTGCCCCCGGGCCAGCACCCCTCCATGCTATAGAGACTCGTCCCGCCCGAAAGAACACCTATTTATGACGGCGGACACTGCGGGTTACACCCGGGCGCAGGGGGAGGCTGCCGGGGGCAGGGAGATGCGCGGCGGTCCCGGAGGGCAAGGAGCCCGCGGGGGCCCAGATCTGTCCCCGCCTGCCCTCTCCAAGGGCCTGAAGCTGCCCCCACCCTCTCGTCTTCCCACCTCCGGGTGCAGTGCCTGTACAAGTGATGCCTTGGAATAAATGTTTATACCCGCCGCTCCCTTTTGTTTCCGTGAGGGAGCTTCCTCGGGTGGCCGTGGGAGTCTCCCCACGCATCCACCCAGGGCAGCAAAGCCACGAGCGAGACGTGGCCAGCGAGGGCCAGGGAGCTTGCTGCACGCACCGGCCGTGGCTGCCGCTTCGGGCCGGGTGTCGGTGCCGCCCGGCTTCTGCTCCCAGGTCGTCACCGGGGACTGGGAGGGAGTCCCGGGTGTGGTGGATGCCCCACTCCCCCGCAAACCCCGTGGAGGGGTGCTCCAGGGGCGTGTGTCCGAACGGCGTTGGCATCTCCCGTGTGCTTTGCTAGCGAATTTCTCTGCGGTGCGGCTTGTTCGGAGGAGGATGAATAATGGCGAAGGCGCAGAACGGGGCGGGGAGGGCAGGCGGCCGCTGCGGAGATGCGGAGCGCCGAGAGTAAAACCCATGGAAGCTCCGGGAGCGAGTCCTTTCAGCCCCTTTTCGGCGTGGCTCCCTCCCGACGGGACAACTCCAGCCCCGCCTGAACCAAGCGTCCCGTCCCGGGTGTCTCCATAGCCTCTGGAGGCAGGGTAGCCCGGGCATGCCCGGCGGGGCCGGAGCCGTCGAGGGGTAAATTAACTTATTCCAGTTGGGTGGGGAGGCTTTGAGGAGGTTTGACCTGGGCTGTTTGCCCAGGTCGCGGAATGGGCTGACCCCCAATTTGTAAACCAACCCGACCCTTTATTCGGAGACAGACAAAAAGATCTTTATTACAATGAGTAAAAAGTGGAATGTGTATCTTCCATTTAACCTGCAAATACAGGAAAAGCTCCTATCCCAGATTAGTGGGGAAAGGTCATATGGTGGGATGATGATGAGTCAGCTAGGGAAGGGAGAAAAATACCCTCATTTCCTCGGACACCTTTAGGACTGTAAATCCAGAGGGAATCTCTTTTTGGTCAGTGTACACAGAACAGTATGGATTCAGTCAAACACAGTCAGCAGCAGGAATGGCTGGTGCCTGTTATGAAAACACGTCCAACACTAATTTTTATCAGCACTGGATACAGAACATGGACAAAATGCTACGTAACATTTATTCCATGTGCTTAAAAAGCTCTTGTGATCCCATTTTGTTGATGAAGCATTAAAAATATAGCATTTCATGAAAATATAAATATATTCAGCATTTTGGTCCCTGTTAACCAAATTAAAAAAAAACTTTCCTTTGCTAAGTAGATTTTCTCTCTGGGATTAGCAGAGGGCCACCATGGTCAAAACTGGGGTCATTTGCATATAATTTTGCAAACTCGCACTGGTCCATGACAGTCTTTGTCTCTCCAATGTTGCTATCCTGGATTTTTTTTTTTTTTTCTTTTCATTTTCATTTAGCTGTGGAGGATAAACCCCTCTTTGGTGTAACAATGACTTTAGGATAAAAGTCTCCCTTCCCTCCTCTCTTTCAGGGCTCTGAGCTCAACCCCCGCTTTTGGCCCTGAAATTATTTTGGAATTCACTAAAATCAGCTGTATCAGGCATGGGAGCTGAGCTGCCTTCCTAGGTCAGAACCACACTGTGCACCATGCTCTGTGCACACAGGTGGGTCTGTATAGGCAGTGGGGTATGGTGTGTAGGCAGCTCCCCCAGGACAGGCATCTCCCGTCTTTTGACAGAAGTTCAGCTCATTTGTCTTAATTTAATTTTGTATTTCTGTGCCTATAGGACAAAGACTTTTGGCCTTTTTCCCCCTTGGAATCAATTTAGCTCTGCCATGAGCATCATCTCCCAACTTTGAGGGGAGCAGTAGGCACTGGATGACACCTGTGCTGGGCCTGTTAAGGGCTGTACCTGATCCCAGGTGAGATGTTTGTCTCGGCTGGCAATGCTCATCATCTGGCATAGGAGTGCCATTTATTGGTGTCTGACAGCAGCTAGCACAGGGAATGAAGAGAGAGAGGGGTTGTTCCTGAACTACTTTAATTCCCAAAGCCCCCAAAATACTAGATTCTGTGTTATGCACCTGCTTGGCTAAAAATCTTAATGGTGAATGATTGGCTCCATCATGTGCTATTCCTTTCCTTCAGCTAGCATCTTTCTCCTTCTTAGACTTTCACATCTCTTTTGGCACAGTTTGCCTTGCCTTCCTTTCCCATGCCTTTCATGCTTTCTTTTCCACCTCTTCTCCCTGCTGTCTGAATTCCTCTTTTCCTCACACATTCCATGTCCTACATGTACTGCAATTCTTCTCACCCCAGAAAACAGTTGTACAGCATGGTCACACCTCAGTAATTTCTTTATGTTGACAGCAAATAATCACGTTGGGATCAAAGGACAGCAAAATGTAAGTTTACAGTTCTGCATCTGATACTGACTCTTGCTATTTACTCAGACAGTAGAAGACTTTATGTTGATCTTTGTAATATTGCATTATTGAAAACATCTCCAACTCCCTAATTTATCCCAAGGATTAATTTGCATTATTATTTAAATAAAGCATCACCAATTAGATTAAAGAGGCGTAAGTAGCCTGTGCATAAACTCTCCATCTTAAAACTTTCTGTTTTCAATAGGTAACAGGCAAAGCCTGGAGGAAATTCTACTGTCTCACTTTTATTATTCAAATAAGTAAAAAATGTTTATGGATTTCAAGTATATATAACACAGATCAGAATTCCTCTTTCTTCCCATGGTTTTGCACCAGTCTGAATGCATTATTCAAAGTTCTAGGGGCTTTGCTGGTAGTGCGACACTGGAGTTTCAGTCTTGGAAACAGAGCCGAGGCTACTGAACAAAGTCCCGAAATTCAGGACAACACAGTCATTCTTGGGGCATCTCATCAATCAGGTCAGTAGCTAACTAGAAAAGAGTACTTTTATTGTACTTTGGGTCCATGACTCTGCTTGCAGCACTGGTCCACAAAGAGCTGCATCAGCACACCTATAGGGACTGAACCATGATTTTGAAAGAAGAAACTGAGGGGAAGAGGAGGAACTATACCACCAAAGGCTCCTAATTACAGACCTGTTCCAGAAGAGATGCACACAATAATTTGCTTCCTAATGGTATGGATATGATCCCTTTCCCATGGCAAAGATCCTGCCAGTTTATAAGTCTTGTGGTCCCACTGCTCCGTAGAATGCTGCTGCCATTCCTCAGGCTCAAAGGTACCCCAGGGTAGTCTGCATGATTTGACCAGGATCATTCCAGAAGTGCTTAGGAGAGCAGAGGGTCCTCAGTGCCAGGATACAATTATCACTTCAATCAGATCAGCTTCTTGCCTTTCTATCACATTCTTGGAGAGAATTAAATAGTGCCTAGGAGTCCAGGGGGATTTTTTTTCCATTTTAAATTAAATCAATTACAAGGAGGAGGATACCTTCTGTTTTCGTGTGGAACAGTCTGCGCACTAGACACATGCTACTGAAGCAGCTGCAAGCTTGTCCAGCAACCCTTTTGCAAAGGCAGACTTTTGGAAATAAACCCTCCAGCCAACAGTTTCACATATGCTGAGATGTAGCATCTAATCTCACAGATTTGCCTCCTGTATTGGGTGAGTCTCACATCATCATGTCAATTTCTAGCACCTTCCTGCATAGTGCATAAAGGCTGTTTTAGGACAAGAACACTGAATTCTCTTGAAGAGAAAAGTGATTGTAGAAAGAAGTACAAGAAAGTCATTTTAATATGTATATAAGGTTAAAGCTCAGATACCTACCTACGTAACATACTGCATATAGAGTGACATATTAAAACAAACAAAATTCATTTTAAAAGATCTGAAAAAGCAACATTGAAGGCTATTGGATGAAACATCACATGAGAAGAAAGAGGAGTAGTTTGTAAGAGTCAAACTTGGAATATTGAATTAGGAAATTTATTAAATAAAAAAATGATTAAACTTAGGAAAGAGATTGTTTAACATTCTTCAAGCTACGGTAACTGAAGCGTGCATTATGCTTCATCAGAAGTAATACAATTAATTAGGCTGAAAAAACTTTTGCTAACAGGAAATCTAAACTTTAGTGTGTATGCTCTGAATAGTTAAATGCAATTTCATTTTTAATAACTGTAGGACTACAACACCTCCAAATGCAGTCCTACTCTACATAATGATTGTGTAATCAAAAAAATGAGTCCCTTCAAACAAGTAAGTCCTTCAAGGCAACAGGGAATTCATTATAGGGTCTGTGACTCAGTTCTTATGCTTTTGGTGAACATGATGAAGTTATTTTTACCCCTGCTAAGGGCTTAACCCAGAGCATGTAGAAGGATTTATACTAGCTCACTCCGCAGTACTTTGTTTAGAGAAACTTGTTCTCCTACTAGCTTTGTGGAAACCAGGCAGTGCCTGAGCTCTGAGCTCATCTCTATCTCTTGTGAATTCCAGCACCAAAATTATGCTTTCAGTCCCATAAAGGGTGCAGGTATTTAGAGTAGGGCACAGTCCAACTGGAGCCCTAAAGAATTTCTGTGTTCTTTGAAGGAACCACCAATATGCTGGTTCAACCTCCCAAAGAAGAGATCAGATGGTAGTTTGCCAGGGGAGGGTTTGATCTCAAAGTATCAGCTTGAAGGAAATGTTCAGTTTAGAACATGTCACTAGCAGGAAGCTGTGACATGGTTTGAGTGTCAACTCACTGCAAGGGAGGAGTGGAGACTGTGGCTTTTGCACTTCCCTCCATTCTCCTCCTCTGGAGGAGACTACGTGGAGACACACGTGGCTGTGTGTATACCATTGTGTACTATACCCGTAGGAAGCTTATACACACCCTCTTCCAAAGTACATCTGGATTCAGTTTAGTTTTTCTCAGTAATTCCTAGTCTGGTTTGGCTGCTATTTGTTTAAATGTGGCTATATTCAATCCTCATAGCTTCCCGTGCATGCTGCATTAGTGCTGTTCCAGGAGAAGAATTCGCGAGACTAGCCTTTAAAGGTCAGTCTTTTATGATTAAGATATAGGATTGGTATTTTTTTACTTTTTTCCCCAAACTAAAATGTCCTTTAATGTATCCTATGGCAACCTCAACGTT